GTTTGGCGGGTCCGGGCTGGGGATTCGAACCCGGCACCTTAGGTGTACGTGGCTGGCGCCTTAGCCAGTTGAGCTATAGGCGCCGAGCCAGGTAATTTTATTATTTACTTGTTTTTCTTTCTTTCTTTCCTTTTGTCCAGGCTGGAACTCTTAGGCTCAATCCTCCTGCCTCCCTAGTAGCTAGGACTACAGGCTGAGGCATCAGCTAGCTGATTTTTTAAATTTTTTGTAGAGATCGGGTCTCACTATGTTGCCCATATTGATTTCAAACTCTTGGGGTCAAGCAGTCCTCCCACCTGGGCCTCCCAAACTTTAGGGAGTATAGGCGTCAGTGACTGTGCCCAGCCTTGGTTTTCTTTATAAGTCCCTTTTGCTTGCCTGCTTGCTCTTTCTTTCCTTTCTTCCGTTCTTTCTTTTCTTTCTTTCTTCCTCTCTCTCCTTCCCTCCTACCTCCCTCCCTCTCCTTTCCTTCCCCTTTCTTTCCTTTCTTTGTTTCTTTCTTTCCTTTTTTTTCAGACAAAGTTTCACTTTGTCACTCTCAGTAGAGTGCTGTGGCATCATAGCTCACAACAACCTCAAGTTCTTAGGCGCAAGTGATCCTCTTCCCTCAGCCTCCCAAGTACCTGGGACTACATGTGCCCGCCACAAACGCCCACCTGTTTTTAGAGCCAGGGTCTAACTGTGGCTCAGGATGGTCTTGAACCCATGAGCTCAGGAGATCCACCTGCTTTGGCCTCCCAGAGTCCTTTTGCCTACTTTAAATAATTTAACTTATTTTGTTAATTTAAATTTTCTGTTATTTGACTACTTAGTTCATTATTTTTGTTGTTTCTTTCTTAATTATAAGAAACATTTAAGTCTGTAAAATTACATGAAGGATTATTCTTTAGTTTCCTAATAGTGCTTGGAGGTGAGGGGATTGTGTTTCTTCTGTTAATTTTTAGTTTTATTTCACTGTGGTCAAAGTGTATGTCCCATGAGGTTTCCGTTATCTGGAATATATTGTAGGTTTCTTTGTTCTTTAATACATGGTCATTTTCACTACTGTTCCACAGACTCTGAAAAAAAAATTACTCTGTAGGATACAGAGTTTAAAATGTATTTGTTAAATTGAACCAATGGTGATGTGTCTTATTTCCCTTTTAGTCTTTTTCCCCCTAGTCTGTCAAATTTGAGAGAATTACATTAAAATCTCCCATTACTGTAATTTTGAAATTTGTTTCTGTCACTTCATTCAATTGTTCCTTTGCTCCTCTGTGCCTGCAGATTCGTGACTATCGAAACTATTTTCTTGCCAACATAAAATGTTTGTGCTTGTCCTTGTCACTGGACAGCCCACGGCACTGCTGCTCTGGCCACCTGGATCCCTGATGCGTCTGTTTTCAAATATTTACTCAAGTTTTTGAGCCCTGTTTTTTACTTCAAGAATTAATCAGCACCAGAGCCCCACCACATCGGGATGTCTCTTAACACATTTTCCAGCTCTAGCTCCAATGGTTTTTGTTTTATTGAAAAATTTTAGAAATGTTAACAATATTATTTTTAAAATAACTTATTTTTCTTTTAATATCTTTTTTAGCAACTAAATCACCAAAATTATTTTTTTGAACAATAGAAATGGCTATAGTTCTGAACTGCTCAGACTCAAGCCTGAGTTCAGCCCGTGTAGCCATGTGGCCATGGGCACACTATGTGCTCTTGGCCTTGGCTTACCTGGAAGGGGGACAAGGGGCCACAGCTCCCTGGGTCCACTGGTTGGCCAGATGGCCAGGGCCCTGGTTGGGGGCACACAAAGGTCTTTGCTCACTCATGTTACAGCCTTGCATGGTCAATGTGCAGGAGTGTGGGTCTGCATGGGCCTCAGGTCCCAGGCTGTTTCCTGGGCTGCTGCTATCTTCTGTGGCCTCAGAAACCTTCCCTGGGTGTTTTGTGAGAGCTGGAAATAAAAAGAAACACCCGGGGTTCTCAGGGGGCTCACAGGGCCAGAGTCCAGTCATGTAGGCCCTTGTATGTATAGGAGGTTCGTTAATGGGGTCAGTGGGGGCCAAGGCAGGAGGCCAGGTAGTATTGAGCCTCAAGGACTCCTGGCTCACCGCCCACCCTGGAGCTGGAGGAGAGGCCAGCAGACCGGGCCCCCTCCCCCGCCCCCGTGGCCTCTTTTTTTTTTTGCAGTTTTTGGGTGGGGCTGGGTTTGAACCCACCACCTCTGGCATATGGGGCCGGTGCCCTACTCCTTTGAGCCACAGGCGCCACCCCCACTCCCTGTGCCTTCAAAGCTCCCGAGAACCCACAATTCCCTCCTCCATTGTCATCTGCTAGCACCTACCTGTTTTTTATGTGGGCCAGGCCTAGCCTATGGCTCTCCCCACCCTCTCCTGCCTAGGCCTCAGCCCAGAGGCACCTTTCTTGTAAGGCTTTTCTGGGCAGTGCCACCTGATGTTCACAGCATCGCACTGGTGACCAGAGTCCTTACATTGCTCAGTTCTTATCACTCACCCCAGTAGGCTATGCATCTGTTCACATCAGCACAGGCCTCTGTATACAGTTGCCCTCCATGGCCTTGAGCACTGCTGAGAGTAGGCCCTCTATGGCCCACAAGGATGAGTTGACATGAGCCATCTGGTGGGTTCAAAGGGGCCATGTGCCCATGCCTGTCTTGCTTCAAGAATGCTGGAGAATGAGGTTGGCACCTGTGGCTCAGTGGGTAGGGCGCCAGCCTATATACTGAGGGTAGCGGGTTTGAACCTGGCCCTGGCCAAACTACAACAACAACAAAAAAATAGCTGGGCATTGTGACAGGGACCTGTAGTCCCAGCTACTCGGGAGGCTAAGGCAAGAGAATCGCCTAAGCCCGGGAGTTGGAGGTTGCTGTGCACTGTGATACCACAGCACTCTACCGAGGGTGATAAAGTGAGACTTTTGTCTCCTAAAAAAAAAAAAAAAAAGCTGGAGAATGGTGTTGGGAGGTGGCGCTGCAGTCTGGAGGGAAGGCTGCTAGGTGGGAGCCTTCTCCATGCTCCAAGCAGGGGGCCCTGAAAGTGAGCCAGGGCATGCCTAGTGCCTTACGCGGCAGGTACATGCTGCTGGGGTCCCTGCATGTCTGAAGTCACTCCACTTGAGGGCCAGGGAGGTCAAGACAGGGGGTCCTGGAAAGATGGCTGAGGGTCGCCCAGCTCTGGGGGTATTGCTCTGGGTTGCTGTATATATCACACATGAGTGCTCGAAGGCTGCTTATATGTGTGCTTTTGGTGCCATAGCTTAAGCTGGTGCTGAGATATTGTCTCTGCCATAGACCCGTGCCTCTACATCCCCCGCTTTGCCCACCTGCTGGAGTTTGGGGAGAAGAACCATGAGGTGTCCATGACAGCCCTGAGGCTCCTGCAAAGAATGAAGAGGGACTGGATGCACACGGGCCGGCGCCCCTCGGGTCTCTGTGGAGCAGGTACATAGGAGCCCCAGCCCCCTTCCTGTGGGATGGTGCCCTCAGTCTGGAGTCACACTGGCCCAGACTCAGTGGCCACTGTGGTCATGTTCTCTGTCCTGACTCTTGGGAAGTCTGAGCCTGTGGGTTGCACCTGTGTTCCCAGAGCTGGCCTTGCACTACAAGTGACTAGTGGCCTCCTGTGCCTGCTGTCGACCTGGCTCAAGGATTGGAGCTTCCCTGTCAGCCTCTGGATACAAGGCACAGGGAGGGCCCTCACAGGTAGAGCGGACTGGCTGGGCACCCTGGCCCTGGCCCTGAGTTGCCCACCTCTGGGGAACAGCTATGGGGGCCTGGTTCTAGGCATGGTTAATGATGTGGTCTCTCTCAATTGAGATGCCAGGTTGTTACTGGAGAGGGTGCCCAGGGCTTTCAGGCTAATCTCTCCCCCAAGCAGGGTAGTTGCTGTGGTCACATCTCCAAGGACCCCTCCCATACAGCTCCCACATCATCCCTGGTTTGGCTCTTGATGTTGTGGGGTTGATATGGATGTTATCTGGCTGGCCACACCAGCCCTGGACCTGGGCTCTTGCCAGCATGTGCTCCTCAGATCAAAAGGGCCTCTCTCTGCCACTCACAGATTCCACTCCTTTCCTGAAGGCCAGGTGCGGGTTCCTGTGCTTTGCTGACAGCAGGGTTAATGCTACCTGAGATTCGTTTTCCATCTGAAAACTTGATTTTCACATTTGCAGTACAGGTTCCAGGCCTATCTTTGGCCCATGACAGCCCTGCCTAGGGTCTCACCCCTTTCCTCTTTGGCTTGGGCCCTATCCTCAGAGTCCTCAGCTCCCATCACAACTCATACACATTACCTCAAAGTTCATGTATTTGCTTTTAGGGTTCCTAAACCCACTCCCAAGCCCTCTAATTTCATTCTTCTCATATTTAAAAGTGGAGTGTGAGCTACTTGGGAGGCTGAGGTAAGAGGATCATGTGAGCCCATGAGATTGAGGTTACTGTGAGCTATGACACTATGGCACTCTATCAAGAGCAATGTAGTGAGACTCTGTCTCAAACAAATAAATAAAAATAAAAAAGTGGAATTTGTGGCTTGGTGCCTATGGCTCAAGTGGTGAAGGCACCAGCCACATAACACCTGAGCTGGCAGGTTCAAATCTAGCCCAGGCCCACCAAACAACAATGATGGCTGCAACCAAAAAATAGCCAGGTGTTGTGGCTAATAGCCTCCCAGTTACTTGGGAGGCAGAGGCAGGAGACTCGCTTAAGCCCAGGAGTTGGAGGTTTCTGTGAGCTGTGATGCTACGGCACTCTACCCAGGGCAACAGCTTGAGGCTCTGTCTCAAAAAAAAAAAAAAATTTGGAGTGTGGTATAACCACTGTCCCAAAAAAGTAGAGAACATGATGGTCCCAGAAGTCCCTGCATAGCATGTCTGCTCAGGGGAAGGTGGATGCTGCCTGCTCAGCTGTTGCTCACCTGGGGTGGCCACGCCCAGTATAGGTCTCTCTGTTCTGGCACAGACATGTTTTTCCCAGGCTGCCGTCTCACCCTAGGGCATGGCAGAGTATCTACCTTCTTAGTTACCAGTTTCCTTCCTTTCTAGCCCTTCTGGTAGCAGCTAGAATGCACGATTTCAGGAGAACTGTCAAAGAGGTCATCAGCGTGGTCAAAGTGTGTGAGTCCACACTGCGGAAGAGGTAGGCACCTTTGCTTTGTGGTGTGGGACCACAACGTAATGACCTCGCGTCTGTCCAGCTGAGTTAGGTCTGCTTGCCAGACACACTGCTCTTTGCTGGGGTTCTGTTGTCCCTAGCCTGGCTATGTGGTGATGCTGGTGGCCAAGACTCAGCATGGTATTGAAGGCAAGAAGTTAGGATGTGCTGAGGCCACCCCATCTCCCTCCAGAGTGTCGTCTTCCAGTCTTGCTGGGGCCCAGCTCCTTCCTTTCCATCCCAGGTTTGTAAGTTAAGGTGGCGGGTTGTGATTCTGCCCTCAGTCATAAGGGGGAAGCAGGCAGGAGGCCAGGTTTGGGCCATCAGTGGGAGGCCTCACCTGCCTCCTGTTTGGCACGGCCCCTCCTGGACTTGGAGAGCCTGAGTGACCATCACCCAGTGGGAAGCAGGGGTCATGTGAGGGGCTACTGTGTCTATTAACCGAATGGCAGTGAGCCGAGCAGCAACCGGCCAGGAGTGTGTGGGGTTAATAGCTGTTACCCAGAGCTCACCTGGAAGGTTGGCTTCCTTTAAATAGACTTTGATGAGGCCGACAAGGCCAACAAGACAGTGGAGTGCTGACAGACCTGTAACTGCTGCTCCCTTTGTCACAAATCTGAAACACTTGATCGCTGTGTTCACCTGAGATCATATCTGGTGCCACTCCCCAAAGGCAGATGGGAAATTAATTTTTGTTTCAATATTTAATCTCGGCTCGGCGTCTGTGGCTCAAGTGGCTAAGGCACCAGCCACATACACCTGAGCTGGCGGGTTCGAATCCAGCCCAGACCCGCCAAACAACAATGATGGCTGCAACCAAAAAATAGCCAGGCGTTGTGGCAGGTGCCTGTGGTCCCAGCTACTTGGGAGGCAGAGGCAGGAGACCCACTTGAGCCCAGGAGTTGGAGGTTGCTGTGAGCTGTGATGCCACGGCACTCTACCCAGGGTGATAGTTTGAGGCTCTGTCTCAAAAAAAAAAAAAAAAGAAGAAGAAAAATTAGCAAGGCATTGCAGTGGGCACCTGTAGTCCTAGCTACTCAGGAGGTTGAGGCAGGAGGATCACTTGAGCCCAGGAGCTTGAGGTTGCTGTGAGCTATGAGGCCACGGTACTCTAGCCGGGGCAACAGAGTAAGACTCTGTCTCAAAAAATAAATAAATAAATAAAAATTAAAAAAAAAGACATAGGGAATCTACCTGCTATTGCCCAGCTCAGCCTCTTTTTCTCTCTGAGTCTTGCGACCAGGATCCTGGGACAAATAAGTGGACGTGATGAAGGTACCTGAGGACTTCTTTCCCAGGGACCTGAGGCCTGACAGGGGCAGGCTGAGGCAGAAAAGCCACTGGGTGAGGCCAGGACCACGGTGGCGCTGTCCTGTGCGCTCAGTGTTAAGTGGCTGTTCTCAGGGCGTTGAACTCCATTTCACATCTCTGCCTTAGGCTCACAGAATTTGAAGACACCCCCACCAGCCAGCTGACCATTGATGAGTTTATGAAGATTGACTTAGAGGAGGAATGTGACCCCCCCTCGTACACTGCTGGGCAGAGAAAGCTGCGTATGAAGCAGGTAGAGCGGCCTGGCCATACCCTGCCCCCTGGGCTGCACCCTGCCTGCTCAGCACTGCTGTTTCTTGTAGCTTGTGCAGTTTTGACACCTCCCACCCATTATTATTTCTAATAAGTAGTGCAGTTGCAGCAGCTACACTCAGTTCATCCAGGCCTGGGTTGTGCATGTCGCCAGCCGCAGGCGTGGGGGTAGCCCCATGAGGCCTCGAGCTTAGAGGCCTGGGCCTCACCACGCCTGGAGTGGGCCAGCACCTCCACTAGGCTCTGCCACCAGCTTCTGCCCCCCACTGAGCCCCTCTCCACAGAAGCATTTGGGTCCTGGTCTTTGTTCTAAAATTCTAGACTATAGTTTCTCCAAGAGATGTGTACTTTGGAATACACTAAAAGTTTGAAAAAACAGCAGAATGCCTCATCTCTCCACCTGGAGTGGGGAGCCTCTGCTCAAGGTATAGTTCTCTCTGCTGTTTTGTCGTCAGGTTTTGTAGGCTGGCTCCGACACAGGGCCTGGCAAGACACATGTAACACTCAGTGAGGTGACTGCAGAGATGGGCAACAGGGGCAGGACAGGGACTGACCCCTGGAGGGGACATGGAGGAATGTCCTGCACATCCCCAGAGAGGCAGACACACAGTAACTGCCTGCTGGGCCAGGCCTATCCCCAGGTGCATCTAGCACTGGGGCTCTGAGAGGGTCCACTGCCCTGGCCAGGTGGGGGCAGGGCACACAGGCACTGAGGTTGCCCCGTCAGCCCCAGTGGGGTGAGTCTGGCAGCCTGTGGTCAGTGAGACCCTCTGGCGCCCCGGGGGCTGTGGCGCATCATGGTGGACCCCTTGTTAACTGCTTTCCTTTCCTCTTTCAGCTTGAGCAAGTCCTGTCAAAAAAACTGGAGGAGGTTGAAGGTAACCAGCCAGTGTTGCCATGTAGATGCTTCAGTTTTCTGAGAAAAATGGATTTGGTTCTGATTTTATACTTTTAACTTACTACTTCAGGGGAAATATCCAGTTACCAAGATGCGATTGAGATTGAACTAGAAAATAGCCGGCCAAAGGCGAAGGGGGCTCTGGCCAGCCTGACCAAAGATGGTGAGCCCACCCTGCCCTCACAGCCTCAAGGTCAGGCCCAGAGGCCCCCAGTTGCCCTGCCAGCACCTCTGCCCTATGCTGACCTTTAACCACGCCCCTCCCCTGGACTGTGTGGTACTGCATCGCAGTGCCATGTTCTGGCTCAGTATGTTGTCCTGAGCAGCTTGCTGCCCTGGACAGCCCTCCCCGCCTCCCTGCACTCCAGCCCTCTTCTGGGGTGGTCTCCATTTCCATGCCCTTGGGTTGCTGTCCCAAGTTCCTCTGCAGTCATTGTCCTTGTACCTGGTGCCACTGCTGCTCAGGAGAGGCTGTAGCCTCCCTCCTTGGCATATAGGCTACATGCTGGGTGCAGAGCCTGAACCCCACTGTCTCTCCAAGGCACCTATGCATATCAAGTTGCAGGGCATGGAGCCTGCAGTCCACTGCCTTTCAGAGGCTCCCATGCATGTCAGGTTCCAGGTGGGGGCTGTCAGGGCAGCCACAGCTTTCTTAAGCAGGTCTCTCCTGCTCACCTGTTCTCCCATGATGGGGCATACCTCCATACCCCCTGGCACTTGAGGGTCTTGTGGGCTGTTCTGGGGTCTGGCTGGGGATGGGTGAGATGTACACTATCCCTCCTGGCACCCCATCCGCCCCACTGCTCTCTGTGCATATTGGAGTCAGCGAGTGCTTCATGCTCTCATCAGGTACTGATATTTGGAAGAAAGGGCACCTCCTGCCCCCTTGGAGCTTTGTAGCCACTCTTATTTATTTTTGCATGAGAACATTAGGGTCCTCTTGCCTCTCTCTCCTAGCCCAGCCCCCTGCTTCACCTGGGAGCTTGGAGGAAGTGGGTTACATCCTGACTCTGCCCTTCCATTGTCTCCGGCTTTAGAGTGTAGCCCTCCCTTTCCCATTAGTTTTTCTCCTCCGTGTGCAAAAGCTCTGCAGTGCCCCATGGTTCAGGCCCTACCACTTTCTCTGTGGCTGTGTACGGCTGTTTGTTGACCATGAGGAATACTGATTTCTGTGTGCTGACTTTGTGTGCTCGTGTGTTAAGGAATTCTTTTATCCCTTTTAGTAGTTTCCAGCTTACCATTGGGTATTCTAAGTGATGAATTATGTCATCTACCAACAGTGACTCTTTTACCTTCCTTACCAGTCTCTATGCCCCTGATTTCCTTCTAGCACCTAGTCTGCTGCCTGCCCTTGGGCACCTCACTGAATCTCAGCCTTGAGAGTGTCCCCTGGCTTCCATGCAGGGCCTCCAGCCTCCAGTGCTTCCCAGGACACAGGGCACAGCCTGTGGTCCCAGGCGCCACCTCATTTGTCCTGTTGAGTAAATGCTCACTCTTCATTTTGATGAGTATCCCTGCCTGAAGCAAGTGTCTCAGACATAGGGGAGAGACCCTGGTGGATGCCTGTGATCCATTCTGATAGGATCCTGTATCAGGTCTTCCTTGAGTCTTTTGAGGCACCCGTGGGCCACAGAGGGTCACCTGCTGGTGCTTACACCAGGGTCTGTCCCATTCGTTTGCAGAGTTGAATGAAGTTGTGTCTTATGATTTTTTTTTGGTCTTTATAGTTATTTTCTTTTTTGTCATTCATTATTTTTCATGATTTTCTTTGCTGTTTTTTTTTTCCCCAGCTGGATTATCAGTGTTCCCATTAAACCAGTTTTTGCACTGCTTTATTGGCTCTGCTGCCTTCCTATTTGTCAGGTCAGCAGCTGGTGCTTCATCTCTGTCCTTCCTTTAGTCTGTCGTAGGCCCCAGCCGCAGGCACCTAGGTGGCTGACTCAGGCTGGACAGAGGCAGAATGCTCTCCTCCCAGCAGCGTTAGTCTGTGCCCCACTGTCCTGCTGTGAAATGTTTTCCATTTCTCAGTCTCAAGTTTCTCTTTCCTGTACAAAGAGTTGTAGAAGTTCTGGGGAGGGGGGCGTGGTTTCCGACTTTGTTGTGGACTTCACTGCTTGCCTGGGACCAGTAAGTGTTGCTGATGCCCTTCCTCCTTTGGTGGTCTCCCTGCATGGTGGTGGCCTGTGTCCACCAGCAACAGGCATGTTCGCAAGCACCGTGTGTGCTCAGCAAGAGGTTGATCTATATTCACTTAGAACATACCCTTTGAGGGCAGCGCCTATGGCTCAGAAGGGTAGGGTGTGGGCTCCATATGCTGAAGGTGACAGGTTCAAACCCAGCCCTGGCCAAAAAACAAAAAAAGAACATTCCCTTTGGTTTCCGGGTTTTGACAGGTGCACATACCTGTGAACCCATCACCATAACCAGGATAACTTGTAGTTCTATCATTACTCCCAACAGTGTCTTCAGGCCCCTGGTAGCCCACGCCAGCCTCCCTGTCCCAGCCACTCTGTCCCTATGAATTAGCCACATTTCTACAGTTTTATCCAAATGGAGTCACACAGTATATGCCCCATTTTTCCTCTGGCCTTTTTCACTCAGTGTAATTATTTTGGGCCATTCATCAGCAATTAGCTTAATTTTGTTCTGGTGTCACGGTCCCTATATACAAAGGTTGTTTATCCATTTCCCTGTTGAAGAGTATCGGGTTATTTACAGTTTGGGGCTATTAGAAGTAAATTGTTCTGTACATTTGTTCCAAGTCTCTGCATGGGCGTTCTTCTTGCTGTCTTGGGTAAATGCTGAGGGTAGTTACTGGTCATGTGGAAGGTACATGTTTACATCTTTAGGAAATCATCAGGCAATCTCCAAGGCGCCCACACCGCTGTGTTCCCACGGGCAGGGCTTTGCCACATTTGTTTCTAAAACATTTATTCTCTGGGCTCTCTCACTTAGGTCTGTGATCCATCCAAGGTTGTCACTGTGTAAGTGTGAGGCATGGGTCAGGGCTCACTCTTCCTGAGCATGGATGCTCAGCAGCATCGTTTACTGATAGTTTCGTCTTTCTTCCACAGGCTGTTTTGCAGCTTGGTGGAAGTATTTCTTGTTGGAGAGAAGGCTCGTTCTGCTTCCTACCTGTTAACAGTGTGGGTCATGTGTCCCTAGGCCCCGTTGAGGACACCACCTCCAGCTTGCTTGGCGAGGAAGACACAGAGGATGAGGAGCTGGAGGCTGCTGCCAGCCACCTGAACAAGGACTTCTACCAGGAGCTTCTCGGCAGCAACACCCCAGGCAGCTCGGAAGCAGCAGGAAGCCCTGAGGGAGTCATCAGGCCCCCAGCCCTGGAGTCCCTGCTGGGTCCCTTGCCTACAGCAGCCAGTCTGGGCATTTCCGAATCCATCCGAGAGTGCATTTCATCCCAGAGCCGGGACCCTAGTAAGTGCCCTGGAGATGGATAGGGAGGAAGGCTGAGGAGAGAAGAGCTTTCCAGGCTGGTCCTGCTCTCACAGGGTGACCTGGAAGCTGACGTTGTCTGTGTGAGAGGTGTGACATTCTAGCATGGCGGGACTTGGGTGTGGCACTGCTACTTCCCTGCACGGGGCTATGTGAGGAGTCAGTGCCTCAACATAAAGAGCTGGGTATTTGCTGACACCCCAAATGCCCAGCAGATTTTGTCATCCTCACTAGGACTGTGTGCTAGCCACAGGTGCCTTCCTGCCTTGGCAGCCCCTTCTTGGCATGTGGCCCAGAGTGCCATGTGAGAATTGTATGGATTCTGAGAAGTCATTGTTAGGAGTCCTGCAGGGCCCACGAGGCAGGGCCAGCCTTTCTCACTGTAGTTCCATCTCTTTAATGGGGAGGCAGAGCCCAGATGGAAGGCTACATCTTCATTGGTCAGAGGGACATTGCTTGCTGAGCTCATTGCAGTGATGAGACGCTCTGAGCAGAAGACGATCACCTGCCCCATAGAGCTCAGACTAAGCCACAGTGGATGGTCTTGCTGTTTCTCACCCCTCCCATTCTGTAAAACATCACTGAGGTCGTGACAGGGAAGGGATGGGATGATGGCAGCTCTGGGAGAAAGGCAGGTAGTCTTATCCCTATACCCTTCCAGGGCAAGCCTCTACCCTGGCACCAGGGCTTGGCTTCTATGCATGAGGGGCCTCTGCAAGGGAAGCTGCTCAGTTGCAGCATGGGTGTTTAGTGAGTGGCCTCTGGGCCAGGTGTGGACATGGACAGTTATGCACCTGCCCTGACAGTGGGGGCTGCTGTATGAGCAGAACGTGAGTGGGTTACGCAGAGCACTAAGGAGAGGGTATGTGTAAAGGCCCTGGGGCAGCCAAGGTGCCATGGCCTCAGAGCTGAGAGAGTGGGGAATGAGGCAGGCCCTGAAGGGTCTCAGCAAACATCTGATTGTTGAGAGGAGCAGTCTTGGACCTCAGCCATGGAGCAGTATGGCAGGAGAGTGCCAGACAGCCCAGTTGCATGGCTGGGTCATGCGGGTTTGTGAAGAGGAGGGACAGCTCTTATTCTAGGCTCTGGAGAGTGTGCCCTTGACCCTGCTGAGCAGGAGGATAGTAGCTGGTAGGTTTCGGGACATCCTGAGCATAGTAATGGGAGCCTCTGAGTCACCATTGTTTCCACCCCCAAATCCAAGAGCACTGTGAGGGAATGCCCAGCCCTTTCTCTGTGGCAGGACGTCTGTCCCTTAGGCTCTGCTCAGCACTGTGCCCTCCTATCTGTCAGGGCCAAGGCACCTGTGTCTCCCAGTCTGACAGAAGCCTAGGGCAGCTGGGCAGCTTTCACAGCTTCAGTTTAGCACCTGCCTTTTCACTCAGCACCCAAGGAGAGTGTGCAGAGAGCCGCAGGGCTGTGGAGGGCAAGTGCAGGACTGCCAAGCAGAGGAGGGTGTCTAGAAGCCCCTTGGCCCAAACCTCAGAGTCTTGAATCAGCGGAGATGGTGTTTATGCCCTTCTAATCAGAACTGACCCTAAGTAACACTGACACTGTGCTTCCTGTTAGCAGACACCTGTGGAGATGGCGAGCTGGACCTCAGTGGCATTGATGACCATGAAATCGACCGAGTGAGCCCCTGCATAGACCCTCACTTCCCGGGAGGTGGTGGACTTGTGCAGGCACCTCAGCCTGGGGTGCCACAGGAAGGTGGGGGATGGGTAGCCTTCCTGCCCCCAGGCTTGCCTTTGGTCTCTGTGCCGTGGTGACCAGAGGTCACCTGTGGCCTCCCCAGATACTATGTGGCCTGAAGGTGGTCTCATGGTGCTCCTGCCCACACCACTCCCAGAGCCCACCCTTCTAGACTTCAGCTCCAGGGTGACCCATGGCAAACATGCCCTCCCTCTGGGAGCCGGAGCCAGCCCTGTGCTGGTACCCTGTCAGGAGGGCCTGAGCTCTGCACCTGGCCTTTGCCACCGTCCAGGTATGTGGCTACAGCAAATACGTGTGCCCCTGGGTTGGGCCCACAAGGCAGTCTCTAAGTGCATTGAGTGACTCTAAGTGCATTGAGCACCTCCATCCTCGAGGGGTGCCAGGCATCTGTGCCTGCTCTTTGCAGCTTATCTCAGCAGCACTTAGCCTTGTCAGGCAAGGAGTCTTTCTTGCTTTGGTTCTATTACCATGAGCTGCCTAGGACTATCCATTTGTCCTAAATTGGCATTGCATGCCCTCCCCTGGTCTCCTCTTGGGGACCTATGGCCCTGCACTCTGGCTGGCCAGGATCCTGGTGTCAGTGGGGCCTGGGAGCACCACAGCAGCAGCTCACAGACAGCCTTTGTGGCTGACCAAGGCCCAGAGGCTAAAGGCAAACCCATGGGGGGACAAAGGAGCAGTGGGTATCCCTGGCTTGCTCTCAGCCACAGGCCTCTGCCCAGTCTCCACACTGGAGAGAGGCATCCCCCTCATGTCCCCGATGCTTAGCGAGAGAGGGCTCAGTGCACCCTCCCTCTGTGTGGGAGCAGGAGGCCAACAACTCCTCTCCTGTGCTTGCCCAGTACATCCTGAATGAGGCGGAAGCGCGTGTGAAGGCTGAGCTGTGGATGAAGGAGAACGCTGAGTACCTGCGCGAGCAGAGTGGTAGGTGCCACCCGCCACCCTAACAGTCCTTGGGCCAGGGCTGGGCCCTCTCTGACAGAGGCCACTTCATTCAACTTTCAGAGAAAGAGGCCAGAATCGCCAAGGAAAAGGAGCTGGGCATCTACAAGGAGCACAAGGTGGGCACCGCAGGCACCAGCAGCCTTCCCAGGGCATCTGAGCTTGCCAGAGGAGACATTTCTGTGGAGGACTGTCCCTTCCCTATATAACAAGAGGGGGCAGGTCCTGGGCAGGTGGCTGGAAGCTACACTTCAGACCCCCAATCCACGTCCCTGGCCACAGGCACCCACAAGCTTCATCACAGGTGGACATGATACTCAGTTTTGGAGCAGGTTCTAAGCTTGCCTCCAGGCAGGCTGGGTCAATACTCAGGAGCTGGACACTGATGCCTCTGGACTTGAGTCCCTTGTCAAGGACACGAGAGGCCCCCACCTCTGTGCCTGGATCCTTGTTCTTTGGATGACCTGAGAAAGTCTCCTGTCAGGCACCTCCCTGCTCCAGCAGCCTTCGTGGCACTTACTCCTTGGCACAGACATAACCTTGGTACCATGGTAACTTTGGAAGTGGTTCAGTGTCTGAGTGACTGAACAGAAGAAAAGACAGGTCCCCTGCCTGTGAAGCTGGATTTCCCAGCACAGAGGGGAGGGAGGCCCAGAGGGCTGATGTGGGGCCTGTCTATTCAGGAGGACCTTGGAGCTTGGGGTGGGGTGTTCAGGACTCCACCCACCTGACAGGACATCTCATGCCTTCTTGGAGGCTGTGAAGTTGAGGTAGCATAGGTGGGGCTGGCATGAGCTGGCTCTGCCCTGTGGCAGCCTGTAGTTCTACCTCTCGGGATGAGATCCAGGGTCTTTGGGCTCCAGGGTCTATTGGCTCTGGCTGACATGCTGGAGTGGACAATCTCCTTCATTCTGGGCTACCTCCCTGTGGTATCCCCACAAGGCAGTACCTCACTCTCTATGTTCACATGCCCTGCACTGGGTCAGGCCAGGGGCCAAGGGTAAACTCACAGGCAGGTTTGCTGCTGCTGCTCCATGGCCCCTTGGGCACCTAACTGGCCACATACCCTGGGGTCTTGCCCAGCCCATGGCTGGGGCTCCCCTGAGTGCCCACTCACCTGAGAGGGCAGGAATCAGGCAGGCCTGGGAAGGCTGGGCAGGACCCCTGCTACACCCTCACACCTGGCTCCCTAGGGAGCCTGATGGCTGAGCAATGCCCTCCTTGCTGTCGCCCAAGTGGGACTCACAGGAGGCATTTCTTTTGTGTTTCAATCAAGCCCAAGAAGTCTTGCAAACGACGGGAACCAATTCAGGCCAGCACAGCTGGGGAAGCCATTGAGAAGATGCTGGAGCAGAAGAAAATCTCCAGCAAGATCAACTACAGCGTGCTGCGGGACCTCAACAGCACTGGCGGGGGCAGCCCTCGGGGGGAGGACACCCAGCCCGAGGATAGGGGCAGTGCCAGAAAGCTGTCACGGAGGAAAACGCCAGCCAGCAGAAATGTGGCTGACCCTGTGACCAGCATGGGGAAAAGGTGCCATTCTGTCCTGTTGGGTGGGTGTTGGGGCAGGCAGAGGCCTGAGGCCTCAGGTCCTGGGCTGTTGCAGGCCAGCTGGGGCCTGAGGAGAGCCTAGAGCATTGTTTGCCCAACTCTATGCTGGGTACTATCCTGCCTCCCCTGCACAAAAGGGGCTACAAGCTGAGGAGGGAGCTCCAGGCCTCAAAAGGTCTTACAGTATGAGGGACTGATCTGTCTTGAGGAGGCAATGGTGCTCAGTTCCTTCTTCAGCTCTGGGATGGTTTCGTAGAAGAGCTGGCCCCAGCCCCTGCCCCTGTGGCCCTCTGCTCATAGGCTGTGTGGCTGTGTCTGCTGAGAGAAGGTCTGAAAGCAGCCCCTGTGAGCAAGTGGGTGGAGGAAATGGGAAGCAGGTCAGGTCAAGGGCCTGAATACACCATCCTCTAGGCCTCTTAGTAGGCTCTGCAGCTCTGGGAATGGCTTTCTTGAGGGATCCATGTCAGGTGGACATGGGACCAGAATTCTACCAGGAATAGAAAAAGTTGATTAATACAGAGAAAGTGAAGAAAATGCAGGGAAGAATAAGGGGACCATCCTCTGACAATGCTCTGAGGCCTGGGGGCGAAAGGAGGAGGGGCTTGCAGGTAGATAGTGGGTGCTGGCTGTGCTGCCTGAGTTGGCATTTCCAGTGGCTCTCAGGTGGTACTTGGAGCTGCCAAGCCCACTTGTCCACCAGATGCAGGAACGGTGTCCTAGGAGTGTCCGCATAGGGTGGCAGGTGTCAGCCCCTCACGTCCAGTGGAGGTGGCTCCTGCCTCAGCCCTGGGGGACATGGGCTGAGCTCATCTCACTGTATTGCTTTCAGGTTGAGGCCTCTGGTGTCTGTGCAGCCAGCTAAGAAGGTGGCCGTGGGACAGGTATGTTGTCCTGTGTGGCCTGGGGCAGGGCTCTTGGGGAACAGGGAGCATGTTTCTTCCTGAGTCCAGACATGCTAAGAATAGGCCTGACCAAGAGAAGCACCCACTGCTGTCCCACACTGGCCTCACACAGCAGAGTGGAGGCCTAGGAGACAGTTCCTGGGTTCCAGGAGTGGGCAGGAGTCAAGGCCAGGGGAGAGGGGCTTGAGATTAGCAGCATGGCTCCAGTCACCCAATAATAAGTAGCCAACAGCCAGAGTGCAGCCGTCAGAGGGCCTTCACTCCGTAAGGTGCCCAGGGACTGGTATGAGGCTGCTCTCTGTGGGTGACGGCCTTTGCCCTCCAGGCCAAGTCTCAAGGGTCTTCCTTCTGGACTTGGAAACAAACGAGTGGCAGGAAGGGTCCTGGTGTGGCTGAAGATATGTGGTCCAAGGCATGGGCAGGGGGTGTGTCACCAGACTGGGCCTGAGCCCAGCGCTAGCACCATCTCCCTCAGGACTGCTGCACTGCTGGGGGTGGTGCTGACCCTACAGTGGGGAAAGGAGCACTCTGGGTGCTCTGGAGTTCCAGGGAGAGGCTGGTGGAGGCCTGGGAGTGGGGGGCCCTGCTCAGGTGCTCCCTGGCAGTCAGGTGGTGGAGAGAACAGCTCCAGCTCCGCCTGCCATCCCAGAGGCCCTCTCCTTCCAGGCCTTGCTCCCTAGCACCCCTGCCCTTGGAGCTGACCTGGCTAAGCCTGAGGCGGTCTTGGTGGAAAGTGGACCAGTGTCGTACCACCTTGATGAGGAGGCAGATGAGGAAGACCCTGATGAGGAGGATGGGGAGCATTGTGTCAGTGCCCTGCAGATGATGGGCGGCAGTGGTGAGTGGGGATTCCCTTGCTCCACATGTCCAGTTGGGCCCAACTTGGGTTTGGGGTCTCTGCATGGTTGGAGATGTTTCCAGAGAAAGAAAGGCATAAACCATTAGTCTGTAATAATTCTTGAGCTTAGGCATCAAACTAAAATTTTATTTCTCCAAGGAAGGAAATTTGAAGTAGGATACTGAAATGTGCTGGAGTCGGCCAGGGCCAGGCAGGCCAGTCCCACAGGGCAGCAGGGTGCTTCTTGCCTTCACAGGAGCAGGGTTCCTGGATCTGCACACACAGACACAGACCTGCACATTAAGGGTGACCACACTGCTCACACTTGCCTTTGACCAGAGCCCAGGCTCCCACACTGCACACACCAGCGCTGAGCTCACAGAAATGAGGAGCCCAAAGTGGTAGTCCCGGTGGTAGTGGGGCCATGTGGGGATGAGGACAGTGGGGCTGGTGCTAGAGCCTCATGTAGGAGTGGCTGGAGCCTGGTGGCCCAGGGGCAGGGCATGGGGAGTGGCAGCTAGGCCTTCTGACCACACAGGTCTTCACTGCCCAGGAGGCTCCCCTATCTCCCCTTTGTGCTCTGCAGATTATGGCTGTGATGGTGATGATGATGAAGGCTACTAAGTGAGGCCTGGAGGCCCAGCGCCTTGGCAGTGGGCCCTGAGCGTGTCTCCTGAGGATCATATGGGCCTCCCAGGCTGTGCCCTGGCATGAGTGTAGAGACTGAGGTGCCGGGACGAGCGCTGCCCACCTGCTCCACAGCCCTCGCCCCACAGCCGCACGCAGCCTCCTGGGACTTAGCATTGAGATCATGTTTTGAGCAATGAAAGGAGTATTTTTACCCAGCAAGAGAAACTGCACCGAATGCCTACATGTGTCTGTAGGATATAGACTGGGAGTGCCCAAGGCTGGATCCCAGCCTGCTAGCCCTCCACCTACCCAGGATCCCTCAAAGGTGGGCAGTCCTGTTCCCACTATAAGGAAACTGAGGCATGAGGCAGCCCCACCGCTGGTCCAAGGGAGCAGAGGGCTAAGTGTGCTGTCCCTGAGGCTCCAGGACCCTAGTCTAGAGCTCTCAGTGTGAGTGTGCTACCCTCCCACCATCCTGAGAAGCTCTGTGTGCCCAGCCCCCTCTGCTGGGCCTGGTGTCAGGGAAGGCAGTAGGAGATCAGGGTCTCCCCATGGTCACTGGACACTGTACTGCTCCCCACACACCATGGCTGTGTGGGTCTGGGGATGGCCCTCAATCCCCAGCTACAGCCCCTCCTCCAGACCCTGCCACCCACAGGCTGCCCCTGGTGAGTAAGTGTGGTCGGCAGCTGCAGGCATCTGTGAGCACAGCTCTCTAATGTCCTGGCCTGGGTGTGCCTATGGCTCAAGAGAGCTAGGACTGGGCTCTGCATACATGGAGAGCAGGCAGGGGGTCCCTGAGCCACCCTGAGGCCCAGGCCTCTTCACTGGGGGTTCCCAAGGACCACCTTTAGGGTCTTAGCTCAGTCATCACTGCCTGAGGGGAAGGACAGGTGCTCCTAGCCTTGATGTGGCCCCACTCTGTCCCCCTGGGAAAACATGGCCTCCGTGGCAGAGCTGTGCCACACTGTCCTCCAGCACATCCCTCAGCCTCCTGGTGTGGTGAGCTGGGAGTCCTGCCCACTGTTTGACCCCCAGCAGGCCAGAGCCCCCTCACCCCCATAATGCAGTAGAGCCCTTGTGGCTGTGCCTCTCTGCCTCCACCCCGTGGCCAGCTACACCCAGAGCCTCTGGGAGGCTGGGGGCAAGGATGGACTTAGTGAAACAAAGATCTGCTACTTGAAGGAAACTGGCTGAGGTTGTTGTCTGTGATTCCTGTCTGCCTCTGTGGCCTACCTTTGTGCTGGGGCACAGCAGGCATACTGGGTCTCAGGGTGCCGTCCAGCTGACAGGCTGGAGAGGAATCTTCAGTGGGCTTCCAGACTGGGTGCACCAGGCTCTGTGCTGCAGGAAACCTGGACTGGGTGTCCTCAAAGCAGCCCTTCCAGCTTCATCAGCACCCGATTGGGAAGTCCCCATGCCCATCCTGCCTGGCTACCCTTGAGTCCCAACTACCCATGCTCAGGTCAAGAGCTAGGGCTGCGGCGCCTGGCTTGGCCTGTCCCAGCCATGGACAGGGGGCTGCCATGAGTGGGGCGAACCTGCCCCAGCTGCCCTGTAGGCCACCCCACCCGCAGACTATAGCAACTCTGCATTGTTTGCAGCCAGGAATGGGTGCTGGCAGAGCACCAGGGGTGGGTGTACAATGAGGATGCGCCAGTGTGCAGGAGTTGGGCCCCAGCATGGCAGGAGAAGCACAGTCCTCTGGGCGAGGTATAGCATGGGGCCCTAGCAGTGGGGACCTGTGCACATGGGCATGGACACTTTGGCAGCCAAGGTGATGAGGAGGCAGTGGGCCGCATGATTGGAGCTAATATACCACTAAGGCGAGCGTTAGGGTCTGTGCACTTCTGTCTCACAGGAGGCTTGGGGGCCACATCTGTATGCCCCTCTAACACAAAGGATGACCAATGCCTGCAGCTGCACGGGGCCTGCCTTGGAGCTGCTCAGTGTCCAGCTGCCTCGGGACCTGCTCCCTGGCCTTTCCTAGGTGCATTGCTCCAGTCCCTGGAATGCTGCATTCTAGGTGGGGCCCTGCCTCTCCAGCCTCCCTGTGCTTCCAGCCACAGCCCACCCACTTGGGGACTGGTTGCAGAATGAGGTACCCTCTGAGAGTCTTTTATTTATTTACTTTTTTTGAGATGGAGCCTCAAGCTATCCCCCTGGGTAGAGTGCCATGGCATCACGCTCACAGCAACCTCCAACTCCTGGGCTCAAGCGAGTCTCCTGCCTCAGCCTCCCAAGTAGCTGGGACTACAGGCGCCCGCCACAGCGCCTGGCCATTTTTTGGTTGCAGCCATCATTGTTGTTTGGCGGGCCCGGGCTGGGGATTCGAACCTGCCACCTTAGGTGTATGTGGCTGGCGCCTTAGCCGCTTGAACCACAGGCGCCGAGCCCCTCTGAGAGTCTTAACAGCTAGCTAGGGTCCCTGGTGCTTGGTGATTGCCACCACCCTGGGGATACTGGGTCACAGGAAGGTAGGACTGGGCCCACCTTTAGACATGCCCAGGGGAAGTGGTTCGGGGGGGTGGGGGGTGGTCTCATAGGAACAGTGCCCATCACTAGCCATGTCGGTGGGCCCAGCTCTACCCCAGACCAGAGAGGGCGGCCCAGGCCTGAACTGGGGGCCTGTGGCTCTCCCTTCCTGGGCTATGGCTAGGTCAAAGCCCTCACCCACAGCTTATATTACAGTAGTGGGTACCAAAGACTCCTTGGGAACCTCCTAGGTGCCTTCTGCTATGGGGGGACACAGGGTTAAGGTGGCCCCCATGCCTCTTGGTGAGAAAAACAGGGCCCTCACAAGCCCCTGATCTGACCCTGTGGGTCAGGGCCACTGGAGGTTTGGCAATGGCTTGTGGACTGTCCACAGTGTGGCACCCATGTAGTTCAGGCTGGGGGTACATCTGGCAGCTGGCCATGTGATCTCTCTTCAGGGGCACCCACAACTTGTGCCTCTCACAGTCCTCATCCCCATCTCTGCCTTCTGCCACCCCCAGGCCTCTCTGCCATGCTTTACATGCCTGGGGTCTGGTCTTTCCCCAGGCCAGAGACCATCTGTGGGTACTGTTGATGGCTCACTGCCTACCCTGGTCCCAGTTAGCACTAGTCTGTTTATAGGTACTGAGAGGTAGACACTGGTTCCACCCTAGTCTCACAGGTAAGGCCAGAGAGGCTCAGGAGCTGGACTGAGCACCTAAGGTGGCCCAGTTGGGAAGTGGCTTCCCCAAAACCTGTCCTCACAGCCACCCCTATTTTGAGGAGGAGGGTGAGCCTAGGGTCCTGGCTGTACCCACTCTTGTACGTGAGCCACCTCGGGCCTGGCTATGGACAACAGTGTCACTCCTGAGAATGGGACACAGCTGCCACCAGTCCTCGCTGTGAGCAGCTTGGAGGAGGTAGCCTGCCTCTCACGTCTGAGCTGGGGCTCCCTTATGTCTGCCATGAGTCCCGTGCCACACTACATGGATGTGCATGAGAGTGTGTGCCCATAAGTACATGTGCCTTCCTTGCGGGTCCTGGGGCTATAGCCCAAGCCCAGCCGGGCCCATCCATTCACTTCCCCCCACTCAACACATACTATACTGGGCCAGTGAGGCTTAGGGGTCCTGGTGTGGCAGGGCCATCAGGAAGTGTCTAGCACAGCTCCAGAAGGGGTTTGGTGGAAGGCCTCTGCCCATTTGTGCCACAGCTATCCCAGGCAGCTTCCTGCCAACCCCAAGACAGACTCACCCTTGCCAACATTTCCCCACACTGAATGAGGGATGGCTGTGGGCCATCATCAGCCAGCCCAGAAAGCACAGTGTACATGGCCTCCCACAGACACATGTATGCAGGCATGTGTCCAAGACACTGCACGTACACATGCTCACTAATGCATGCTATACGTGTGTGCACATGTGCATGTCTGTGTGCACTGGTGCACACCCACACTCCTGGCCACATGCTATGTGTGTACTGGTGTCATGGCCCACTGCTGTGCACGGATCCCCAAGGTCTACAGCCTCCAACCCATTGTGGGTGCTGGGCCCTAGGCAGACAGGTGGCAGCTGAGTCCTCAGACACCTGTAGACCAGTGATGCTCTGGAGCATAGTGTTCCTTGCTGGACACCATGATGGCTGTGGGGTCCCTAGGCCTGTGGTTGCTGCACCCACTCCCTATGGAGGAAAGGGTGGGCCAGAGGCTGTGTCCAGTGTCTGTGGCATCTACCAGCTACCCAGCTCACAAAGGGCAGTGTGGCTTTGCCCCAGTCCCTCCTTGCTGGGCCTCCTTCCTAGCATGGCAGGTTGTGGGGGAGCACGTTGGGAGAGCCATGCTCTCCCAGCCAATTTAGGTTTGACAGAGCCTTAGCCACTGCCTTTCCCACAACAGCTGGGGCAGATGTCAGAGGGATAATTGTGACCCCAGGGACTGGACACACAGCTCTGTGCTCCTACGACTCAGGTCTGGGCCACATCCTGAGCTGGCCTTGGCATCAAATGGCCCTCTGTCCTCCATTCCTCACCCCACTGCCACCAGTCATGACAGAGATAGGACATCCTACTCAGCAGCCCTAGCCTGTGTGCTCCAGGGCTGGGCCAGTGGAGGCAGGGTGGATCAGGGCTCCAGGCAGGCAGCAAAGCAACTGGGGCTTGTTTGGAGGAAGGGCAGGTGCTGGGCAGCCACTGAAGACACATGTCTGCTGAGGCTGTGTCTGGGCTCTGCCGCCAGGTATCCACAGATGGCCCCTTTCTGTCACCTGTGCTTCCCAGAGCCCCCTCTGTTCCCTCCTAGGGATCAGTACCACCACCACTGACGTATAGCTGTCATGAGCCTCTAAACTCACCACAGCAAGGCCTAGGTGACAGTGACACCTCTGCCCCCTCTTCCAGTCCCTGAGACACTGCCAGAGCAGGCAACGCCCCCTTCCAGGCTCTTCTGCTATTCCCTGGTCCTGTTCCTAGTGAGGTGGGAGCTGATGCATGAAGAAGGCCTCACAGGCCTCAGGCCAAGAGTGGACAGCTCTTCTGACACTGGCCAGCCTCTGGCCCTGCCACCTTCCCCAAGTCAAAGGAATGTCCATCATTCCCAACACCCTTGGATTGTGGGTGGAGTCCCAGGCACTGCTGGGTAGTGGGGTGGAAGGTAACCCTGCACAGCTCTCCAGGGGCAGGCTGGGAGCAGAACTCTGGGGTCACTGCCAGATAGCCAGCCTGCTGGACACTCTGAAAGCTCTCTGTGGCGATGAGGGTGGGTCACCTGGGAGACCTGGCTGGCTTGCCCCCTGGTGGCCACACATGGCATGACCTCAGCTGCGATGCTGCCTCCCCCCCAATTTCCTCTATAAACCACACCAAGCAGCTGCCAAACTGCAGGACCCTGGGGTGCCTCCATCTGGACCTGATCTTCCTGCAAGGACCACCAAAGTGCCTTTTTCTTTATTCTCTGTATCATTGATCAAGATCTTTTGAGACATCCTTGGTCCTAGGGGAGCTCTGCCAGCTGCTGCAGTGCCCCACCTCACTTAAGCACAGTCTTCTTCCTCTGCACCCACTCCCTTTTGGGGTCTGAATAGTTGGCAAGACAGTAGAGATGGGCGTGGAGAGAAAGTAATGTTGGATCTCAGGCCCAGGTGTGCCACAGGGGCTTCAGGAGATGACCACCTGCCCCAAACCCATAGGTCCCTACCCTTCTCTGTCCCAGGGCTCCCACTGGCCCCTCTACACATGGCTGCTGAGCTGTGTGCACAGCCAGAGCTCTCACCTTACTCTGCCTGTGACCCCTCTGCAGGACTGTTCTCTGCATCCACCCTGCAGCCTACACCAGGGGTGGGGGTGGGGGGAGATAATTTCCAGGCTGGGAACAGGGCAGATGCATATTATGGGGCAGCACCTCTGCATGTCCCCTGTTCTTGTGAGGACAGATGGCCCCTCTCTGGACCTTGAGTACCGGAGCCCTACTCATGTCCTAGCCTAAGTGTGCCTACCCTAGACCAACACCTACTGGGGCCCTCAGCCATCAGCCCCGTGAGCTCTGCCATCCCGCAGATGTCCCCTGATCCTTGGGGAACAGAACCATGGGTTGGTTCCATCCTTGGAGGTCTCCAGCCTGTGGTGAGCTCCAGGAGAGGATCCTGAGCTATAGCGGTGGGCTCTGCATCCTGGCCGAGCTCTGACACCATGCTTAGGGGCCCACTCTTTGAACAGGGCCAG